AGGGAGTCACGGCCTCGTGGGCATTGCAGCCTCGCCCAGGGCAGGCCTGCGTGGGTCGGCGTCTCTTCAGGGTTGGGGGGACAGCTCAGTTCCTTTCTGTGTGGGAATGTCCAGAGTTGAGACTTCTGTGTCTGGAAGAGACAGATGTGACAGGTCTGGGGAGCCACACCAAGGCCCTTAGGTGCGACCAGGGCACATGGTCAAACCCTGTGTTTAAAAGCACGTCTTAGGGTCGAGGATGCATCTGTCAGCGAGAGGCCCAGCTGCCCCTTTGTCCCAGCCCCGGCCACGGTCAGAGCAGCTATGGCGTGCAGAGATGGTCGTGGGTGAGGACTGGTGGCCAGGAAAAAGTGAAGCACAGTGGCCTGGGGGCAGCTTTCGGTCCCAGAGGGCCAGCGTTCCGTCCAGACCCCTCTCTGGCCTTCTCCATCAGAGGGGGACCGGGTGGCCATGTGGACTAGTGGCCACCATGGGCCTTGTCAGCAAGTGAGAAGGACGTCTGAATAATGATCCGGGGACAACAGGTAGAGATCGGGGACAGGACATAGGGCCCCATGTTGAAGATGACAGGTCGCCACTGCTTCAGCCCAAGTTGTCCCCACACCCCCTGGCAGGCCAGTGGCGAGGGGAAACTGTCAGGGCAGTTGTCTGCTGCTGGAAGAAAACCCCAGTCAGGTAGAGAAAGCAAAAAATACTTGGCTGTAAACCGTGCTCTTTAATTTGTAGCCAGCTCTGGCGGACGATTGTCACCCTGAGGTCAGTGGGAAGGCTCCTCTGGAAGGTGCGGACGGCGGGTGAGGAGCTACCTGCGTGGACCCCACTTCTCAGCGCTGCAGAGAACCTTTTGCACTAAATCATGCTGTTTCCTAAAAGCTTTGTTTGTGTTGATTATCCCACGTTTCTCAGACCCTCCGAAGCCCCCCTCGCTGAGGCGGCAGGAGGGGTCTGGCTGTGCCTCCTCGAGTCTCAGAGTGGCGGGGCCAGGAGTTAGGATGCTCACCATGAAGCTGCTTGGTGTCTCGAGTGCCTGTTAAATTCTTAAGAAACGAGCCACCTGCATTAAACTTATTTTTTTAACATGTTAATGGAGTGGTCGTTTAAAGCTCAAAAAATTTCTTTTTTTAAGGATGTGAACAATCAAAAACAAGTGGGCATGTTTTAAAGCAGTCACCGTGATGGTCGTGGGGATTCCGCAGTGGAGTCTGCCTGGGGCATTTGGCAGGGCGGGTGGTGAGGGTCTCGGCCGCCGGGGCCTTCGCTTTTGATGGGAGAGCTGGGGAACTGGCCGCGGCCTGCGGGCACAGCAGAGGAGGCGGGTTTGACAAGTTCTGGCCGAGGCTTCGTGGGGCCGCTGCTTCCAGGCCGAGGTCTCCTGTCCGTGGCCCTGGGATGGGCCGAGGGCCACCGTTGCCCACAGGCTCCGGGTGCTTCCAGGAGCGCAGGTGTGGGCACAGGTGAACGCGCAGGCGGCCATGCTGGCTCCCTGGGCGTGGCTTCCGGGGCCGTCTCCCCACCGCGGCCTCCCCTGGGCCTCCCCACCGACTGCGCCTTGTTTGCGGTGGGTGGGAGTCATTCCCTCCGCGGTTCTCCGGGCCAGCGCTGTCCAACGAGACTGCTCCACAGTGGCTGTGCTGCCCAGGGCAGGAGCCACCGGCCCCTCGGGGCCACTGAGCGTGGGAACCAGGGCTGAAGTCCGATGGGATTGGCCACACGTGGCTCGAGGCCAGGGGCCCGCACGGGCTGGGTCATAACCGTGTTTGGTGTGCCGGGAGCCGGTCTGTTCTCTGGGCTTCGTTAACCCGATGCTCCCTGTGTGAGTCACCGTTCTCTGAGGACGTGGACTGACGGGCCAGGGAAGGCGGGCTGCGTGTGGCTGCTCAGTGCCACAGCCTGGGAACCCGGGCAGCAGCAGTCCTGGGACCGGAGACGTGGAGGGCGGCTTCCCGGGGCAGGGACATTTGCCGAAATGTCTGTCTCGGAGCAGACTTACTTGCCCGTTGTGGGCTCCACATCTCTGTGAGAAAATGGGAATGATCGGAGGCTTCTGGAAGCTTCCAGGGGCTGTGAGGAGTCCGGCTCAGGATGAGAAACCTGGCCTGAGTCTTGGTGTCACCATGGTGTCACCTATAAGGGGCGGGGCACTGGTTAGGAGGCAGGTTAACACTTACAAAGCCTCAATCCCTAGCTGCCCTCCCCACCCCCCAAATGGCCCAGGGGCCGCCTCCGCGGGAGGGAGGGAGGGGACCTGGGAGAGCTGGCAGCTCGTGACCTGGGAGGGGTGAGGGTGGTCGCCTGCTGCCCGATGCACAGCAGGCCGTGAAGTTGGGGACTCAGGCCCAGGTGAGTGAGTTGGAACAGTGGCCCAAAGGTTCTGAAGTGGCAATACCACCGGGCGGTGACAGCACCCGGACAGCCATGGTGGCGGTGGGCTGTTGATTTGGGGTCAGAAGCTGGGGGCTGAAGTTCCGTCTTCGGCCCGAAGGGTGGAGGAGGGCGGGCAGGCCTGGACGGAGCTGCGCAGTGACCGCGGACAAGGGCGCTGACCGCGGCGGAGCAGCAGCGCCCGGGGAGGCAGCGGCCAGGCGTGGGGGGTGGGCACGGAGGCCACGGCCCGGGAGGACGGTGGTCATAGCGGGAGGGTGCTGCCTGGCAGGGGGACAGTGCCTGGGGGCGGCAGGTCAGGGTCAAAGGTCAGGGCCCAGACAGAAGCAGGGTGGAGGAGGGAGAGGACATGCGCCTCCCTTGAACCAAGGTCGGGAGCTGAGGGTTGGTGGGGGGAGCCGAAGCTAGTGCCCCGGTGGCCACCACCCGCTGAGCTGGTGCTTGGGAACTTCTAGAAACCAGAGGCTCGTCTGACAATGCCTAGATGTGTTCGGTCCTGGCAGGGTGGACAAGGGGGCCCAGAAGATGCC